AACTCGTTTCCGAGAGTTTAGGGAGGATACAACCATTTATGAAGTAGTTGGTTGCTTATAACTAAGGGGTACTGTAGCAGAAAATTAGTTCTTGACTTCCAAACTTCTCAAAAGTCTTAATTCTACCAAGCAATAGTTGCTAAATATTTGCAGTTCAGATGACACGGTAAGCTTCGAATCGGACAATTCATCTATAATTATGAGCGCACCTTTAACGCAGAAATACGTCTGTAAAGATCGTCTCAACATCACTCTTCACAGCCCTGGTTTCAGGCAAGGGAACTATTCTGTTATCTAACTTTCAAGGAAAACTATGAATTTCCAGAAAATTCACTACAAAAAATGTTGTGATCAAAGTAACAAAGCCGTGTTGCCTTTATTTTTGCCAGCCTTTATGTTGTCTATGTTGAATTACCTAGGTGGTTGGTGTAGTGGCATGTGGGAACTATTACATTCACGGTTCGGGCATCACATTGCGGATCGATACTTGCCCAGTTAATAAACTTTTCTCCTTTCGATAAGGTTCATCGATCCAAACTCGTTTGGGATATAAGAGCAACCTTTTCACTTTAGATGGCCATTGAAGGTCATTGCAAAGGCCACATACGCATTCAATCCACCATAACATTCCGACTGGAGGTCGTATGCTGGGCGCATCCCGAACGGGATCGATCAACAGCAGAGACTTGATTAGTTAATCTCTATGTTTATCCATCTTCAAATTTCACTGCCAACAATTCGCTTCAATCATTATCTTCTTTTTCTATTTCCAACGTTAATCCCACAGTTAGAAGGAACGCTAATCCTGTCAGCCATCTCTTTGTCCTTCTATCTACGGCAACTTCTGCTGTTTCGTTAGTTTCGGCAAGGTACTTCTTGATAAGGACTCACCGTCTCACCCTTAGAGGTCCTCGTGATCCTCTCTTTGAGCCTAGGATTCGATTCCCTCCCTCACTGGACGATTCTGTGTCCTTCTTAGTTTCTATCCGCACCATCGCAGATGCTGCTCTCTCATATGCAGCTGAACAGAGGTTGTTTTCATCACCGCACTGACGTCTTCGTTTCTAACCCGGTTCACCATTTGAGCATCATCAGCTGCAGGAATGAAGTTTACCTCCATAATTTTCACCTGCGGGCCGGCCGGCACTCCAGACAGCAGAGCTCCGTGGGCCTCACGTCACCGTGGACCGGTACAACATTCCTTTAGGCGTCCTGGAGCACCGTCACAAGTATTTTTAGTAAACCAACGTCTAAATATTTTTCATTTGGTGAAACTCCAATTTATATTTAGTGTTACTTGAGCTAATGT